AGGTAGACAAGAGGAGCCTGACACTGTTTAGAAACTACCGAATACTTAGGAAGCCTTGAAGTTGAGTCGACACCATTCTGCCCCTTCAATTTGCGGGCTCGAGATCGTGCCCTAAACCCTATAGACACGAAAAAGCATGGTTTGGGGGCCCAAACCCAAAGAGCCTTGCGGCTAACAGATGCCCTTTGGCTATGCACGCGACCGTCATGTCTGTGGGAGAGGGCTGCTTGTCATAAGGACCCCACTACTAGCGACCCCAAACCATCTTGGAAGTTATGTATATTTTTCCATATACGTGCGTATATACGTATATGTAAGATTGTACTGCTTCAGTGGTTCTTAGGGACCCCCCCCCCCCAAGCCTGGAAATTACTATTCTATGTCGAAATAAAGTGCACATAATGCTATGTGACTATGTTGTACTGCAGATGAGATTGTAAACGAACATCCCACTTCAGCCTGGTCCTGCACCTGTGAGTTCCGCAGAATCTGGATACCAGGACCTTTTGATCCGTCATAATTCGCTTCAGCAACCCGTACATATGCCAAGCCCCCTGTTGTAGGAACCTCGCGTAGTAGATATGGCGGTCCCCAAGCGTAACTGCACTTTCGACCCAATTATCACCCAGTACCGGCTAGCCAGCGGCTAGCGATCATTGCAAGTAGAGGCCTCAATAACTTCAAGAAACTCCCTTTTCTCGAAAATCATGACTGAGTGGCAGGCCATGCTGGGAGCAATGCGATCACTCTGGCAGCAGCTCACCTAGCGGTGACGAAAAGTCTCTTTCGGTTTAGCTTCGGTTTAGGGTCTTAAGTTCAGGGTTCTGCCGGGTTCGGGGTGCCTGAACCCGTGATTTGAACCATGGACCGCATGCCTGAACAGTATTTTCCGAGATCTCGAAGCTGAAAAGGACGGAACTAAGCGCAACTTCACTTTCAATATCTCGACCTTCTCCCCACCCGCCCATGATCAGTATCCCTAGCTTGGATTGGCGTTCGGAAGACGTGAGGAATGGAGGACTTTGGTATAATTTCAGAACGCACTTTCAAACGTCCTTGCAAAGTTTAGGACTCAGGCTTGAAGGTTTAGGGCGTTTAGGGTCACCTCCATAACCAAGCATGCCACCGTGCGCATTCAGTCGACGCAATTGCCGTTTCCATAGGGTGTAGGGGTGCTATTGTGCCCCAAAAAACTGAAGAAGCTACGCAGAGCCCTGAATCCTAAAACCCAACTAAACCCCAAATCCCCATGAGGATCCTCATCGACGCTCTTTGAAGCAAGTGCCTTTTGGCTCTGAGCGTCCCGGCTGCCAGGAGCCCGTCGAAATCTGCAACACAAAGGGATGGGGAGGCTATGAGGGTGGAAGGGTCTAGGTTTGGGGGTTTAGGAGCTTACTTCTCAAGAATCGTGTCTTCTGTCTAACTCCTGGATACTCAACTGCCCAAGTGCTGCATGGAAGTTTCAGGCAGAGTATCATATCAGCGTGCGATAGCCCCACAAGCACTGATATGAGGGTGTGCACGAAGCCCAGCCTTCGTGCCCCCAAGAGACGAAAGCCATGGCGGCAAAGTTGGGATGCTTCGGTGTGGATTACGCTGGGGGCCAGCGATGCTTTCCTGACATTTTATCGTAATTGCTCAAACTCGAGAAATCTAAAATTGTCACATTGGTCGCTTGAATCCAAAGCCCTTTCAAACTTGAATCATTCAAACTAGTCAAATCGATGCTCCGTCTCAAAATTCATGCTTGTTTGTCCGTGGTCCAACAAATATCTCTTCAAAGAATGATGGTCAACCGATATGTCATCAATGATTAATTCCTGTTCGTACGCAACATCCACACTGCGGTTGCTTCCATTTGCGGCCGTGATGCTGCTCATCATGCTTGATTTTGAACCATTGGTGCCTGAGCTCGACTCGCAGCAGCTATCATCTGTAAAAACCACCAAATGAAGTGCTGTTTTCCAAGCATTCAATCCATCATAACTGCCAATATGTTCGTAAACGTACCAATCAGAAACACCAATTTCCATCATTTTGACTTTGCTATCTTTATCTGCAAATGCCAGCAATTCTCGAGGGGTCAGAGCTATTTGGTCAGAGCCGCAGCAGAAGCCCATGCTTGGCGCGAGCTATTTGGTCAGCGCTGCTCTGAGCAAATAGCTCGCGCTAAGTACATGCTCGTGCTAAGTGAATTCACATGTTTGTTCCTTCCTGGGACTAAGGTTTATTTTGGCACGTTTGTTTTTGCACAAAAAGAAGGTGACATTCTTTTGACACGCTCTTTTCGCACCAAAAGAGGGTAGTTTCAGCCTTTTTTGACACAAGAAGAGGGTAACATTGTTTGATACGGTCTTTTCGCACAAAAACACGGTGGTCTAAACTTTGCGGGCACGAGTAAGTACATTGAAGGGCGCCGAAGCACCGCCTCGGCGCCCTTCAATTTTGTGGAGTCCGGGGTGTCCCCTTTCAGCTAAAGAACATTAGTTTGAAACGGGTCAGCACGGACTCCACTCTTTGCATCCCCTGGAACCCATGGATCCGCTAGGATTCTAGGGGGTCAGAGCTATCTGGTCAAAGCTGCAGGAGCAGCCCATGTTTGGCGCGAGCTAGTTGCCCTGACCAAATATCTCCGCTAAGTGAATTGAGATGTTTATCCCTTCGTGGGACTGACTAGGAAAGTTCTCCATTTAGCGCGCTTTCGAAATTTACAGTTCCCCCCCCCCTCACCCACCCCCCCCCCTTACGCACATCCCCGCAATTTCATTTCAATATGATGCGAATTCACTAAAAGGACTTGAAATTCAATGAAAAATAGGCCCAACTAGTTCAAGATCATTACAACGATACAAGATACAAAAAAAATAGAGTTTTCGTTGCTTTGCAATCAATTGAAAATATTGACAAAGTGACTAAATAGTGAAATCACTTGACAGGGAGTGGGTGGGGGTGGGGGGGTGGGTGGTGACCCCTTCCGTTCCGCGGGGGGGGGGGGGGTTGGGGGTACCCACCCCCCCCCCCCCCAAAAAAATCTCTCCACTAAGTGAATTGAGATGCGTATCCCTTCGTGGGACTGACTCGGGGGGTCAGAGCTACTTGGTCAGAGCTGCAGGAGAAGCCCATGTTTGGCGCGAGCTAGTTGGTCAGAGCTGCTCTGACCAAATTGCTCACGCTGAGTACATGCTCGCGCTGAGTACATTGAGATGTTTATCCCTTCATGGGACTAAGACTGTTTTTGACACGGTCTTTTCGCACAAAGACTTGGCCGTCATGAAAGGAGCTGCATGCCCAACACAACACCCAACCACGAAGCATCTTGTCACATGGTTTGCAACTCTGACAAACTGCCGGTTTGACCATAAACTTGGCTCGAGCCGAATCTCTATGTCAGTGCAGCTGAAATAAAAAAGCCGGCCTGTCATGCCCACTCAGCTATGTCGCAGCTATGTCGTCGCTGCGGCGACTTCTCCCACCGAGCCCGCTCCGCCAAGACAAGGCTTGTTGGCCCGAGCAGGCGGGAGCATGGGCACTAGCGGCTTGAAAAGGAATTGAAACGGATCAGCATTCCACAGTATTCCACATGCTGGTGACGGACCTGCAACGGATGTTAAGTCTTTTTTAATGCCAACATGATCGGTTGTCGACCACAGAGATCCGAAGATCCAAAAACTCAAACCGCAATGAGGAATTCAATTTTTGTCTGCCGCTGTCCCTGGCCCATCTTCAATGCCAGCTTTGAACTTGCTTACGCCCTCACGTTTAAGGTCCTGTTCCGGCAAAGAACAAGGAGGCCATGGCACCAGGGAGAAGTAATCACCCCACCAAAACCTTTCAGCCTTCGCCTTTGACTTTTGCAGCCAATGCATAGACAAGGACATTCTCCACACATGAACCACTAAATTCTTTCTCCTGCTCGTTCGAGAATGAAGGATGGTATGCCCGCGGGCCACACACATGCACAACCTTGTGTCATGCTTCAGACGACCGAGAATTCCGAAGTGGCATGAAGAGGCCGGCGGCAAGAGCAGAAGCGAACAAGAGGTAGGTACGCACCCCAGGAAAAACTCCGTGGCTGAGTTTTCGTTTGACGAAGCTGTCAGGAAGCTTGCCGAGACTTGGTTGGGCGAGATGGAAAGTAAGGTCATCCTGGACCCGACGGCGAATGGAACCGAGACGGATGTGGTCGGCCGTTGGGGGTTCTGCTCGCATCCTAGAAGACTTCCGGCGTCACAAGTCGTGCCTTCACAGCCCCAACAAAGTTTCCAATAGCCTGAAACCCGAAACCCTTTAACCCAATCTTTCCCTAAACCCGACCCATTCAGGGGGATACCAAGGGATCCCAAAGAGTGGGGGCAGCAAACCAAAGCCCCCAAACCTATTCGGGATGAACTGTGCCAGCAGATGCATGTGCAGTCAAAGGCTTTCTGCGTGTGGCTCCTGGCCTGCGTGTTGCAGGCACGGTGCATCTGGTCGGTGAACCGTTCGGAGTGCATACGCCAGAGTCAGAGTCTTGCTACACCATCTAAAACCCCTAGGTCCTAAACGCTCATCACTCATCTGAAAGGCCCGGCAGAGACGGGTCACGGGACAAGCGTCCTGAGCAGGGCCAAGAGAGTTCAGGGAGCCTGGAGGAAACAACGAGCGAATGTTGAAGTGTGTTTCTCAGGTTGTCAGACCTTTGGGCACACCAGACACTCACTTGTGGCGCTCAACCCAAGCCCCGAAGTGCCCTGCACTGGCTAGCCTGGACCTTCAGCCTCATGGCCTGGTTTTCACTGCGCAGGTTCCGATTGGATCTGGGCTGCTGAAAGATTTGGGAATCAGGACTCAGGAGCTGCGACAGGAAAGTGGCATCAAGCTCGGACCCCTAAACCCGAAACAACAGCAACCCTGGACTCGGAACCCTAACTCCGAACAGAGCCTGAGCCTTACAGCCCCAGAGCCCAGGAACCATGAATCCGGTGCTTGAGAATAGACGCTATGCTCGCTGAGTGTCCTGCTCACCGCTTGAAACCACCGTGGGCTTGGAACGATGCCTTGAAGATATTGTTGATGACGTTCTTGGCCTGGCCTTGGAAATGGTAGTTTTTATAGGTCACCTTGGATGACAGCGGCCAAGTGCATGGTATGTGCACACAGAAAGAGCCCTGCTGGGAACCAAGATGAATGGCAACTTAGGGTTTCTAAACACCTAAGGCTGGACGTGTCGATTCCGCTAAACCCCCCTGCCCCTCGCCCCCTCGCCCCCTCCCCACCAACCTCCCCCCCAACGCCCTTGTTGCTGACTCTGTGCATTTTGCTGGGCATTTGGCCCTTCTTCTGTTAAGCATTCAGGATGGTTCTTGTTTACGCTTACGGCATGGTTAGCGACCCCGCTGAATATGCGTGTTTCTTCGGTTTTCCGGTCTGTTAGTGGGGGGGGGGGTGGGCACACTTATGCAAACCCTACCCTTCGCCCTGAATCTACCCTGAACCCAGACCCGAAAACCACATCCCAAACAAACTTGCAAGCCAACATATGTCTCCGTTCGGGTTTAGGGTTCCGGCTTTGGGTTTAACCTTATAAACCGTTCTGCCCATTTATGTCCGGTTTCGGGTTTGGGGTTTAAGACTTAGGGTTAAGCCTGAAACCGCTCTGCCGATATACCCTTAACCATACACCACACAATGCACGCCCCAAGCTCTACTGTATGCAAACCTCAACACTGTCCTGCAAGCCCAAATTCCTCAAGTCTAACACTCAAGTTAACTTGATCCTTCTGTTGAGTTTAGAGTTTAGGGTTTAAGGTTTACGGTTAAGCCTTCAACCGTTCTGCCCATGTACCCTAAACCATACACCACACAACCACACCCAGTGCAGGCCCGAAGCTACAACACTGAAGTAAACTGAACCTGCCAATTCGCTGTAAATTCTAACATTTCCACACAAGCGGACAGCCTTCAACCCTTGCTTGTCTACTCGTGCAGAATCGTGCAACCTAAGGCCTTTCAAAAAACAAACGTCTCACAAAACCTGTCTTCACATGCAAATTCGGTGTAAATACCAGCATTTCCAAAAAAAAAACTTCCCAAATAAAGCGACTTCTGAAGCTCAAAAATTCGTCAACACACGAAAACACTGCTATTTACAGCGAATTGTGCCAAAATTATCTCGCCCACCGGTAAAAACGGGGTTTTTGGACATGCGCTACTAAGAAACCACGCACAGAAACATCGAAAAAACCGAGGTTTTACAATTCAAACCCCCAAAGAAAACGTGTATTTCAGCGGGGTCGTGAACAACGCCATGACCTTGTTAGCGATATTCTCTTGGTACTGCTAGGTGTTCTCTGTCGCTCTCAGGGGAGTACTTGAATTTCCGACTTCTGTGTTGACTCGCGTTTGCTTAGTCGTTGTGCTGTGCTTCCAACACATGTTTCGGCATTCACAGAGTTCGTGATACAATAAACTTTCTCCATCTAGGTCTGCCACTGACACAAAATTCCAGCTTTCAGGACCTCGCCAAGTCCAAACCAATGGACAACCAAACGAGGGCCAGATTGTCGTGTGGTTTTCGGACAGACTCAACTGAGGAGTTAGATGCTGTTGACTGTGTAGCTTCATCGGGCGTGTTCCTTCGTAGACTTACTTTCGTTCGGTTTGTTTCGCCTCTTTAAAAAAACACAGTCATTTTCGTGGTTTTTGTGAAAACATGGGTGCTTCACCTCTGAACATGAGTCTGCTACTAGGAGATGGGGACTTCGACCCGTCCTCCATAAATCAGCAGCGTCACGTTCCCAATTTTGGCAGTCATCCGGCTGCCATTGAGAGTTGTCCTTAGTATCTCCGACTTGCAGGGCAGTGTATGGCACTGCGCGGAAGTTACGGCCCATGCCAAATGTCCAGCATAAACTGGCCCCAACCTTTTCATGATACCAGCCCCTAAAAAAAATAAATTATAAACAAAAAAAACTCCTGCTGCGCAATCTTCTGGGGCTGTGCCATCAATCACGCTTTTATGTTTTGCCTGTACCAAACTAGGGGTCGGGAATCTGAAGATTCGGGCAGTCATCCCTGTCTTATACGAAAGCTTGCGAGCGTCGTGACCGTACCTTCCAACATGCTGGAGACCGTCGCAGTGGGGGAGTATCCGTGCGCGCTGTCGATGACATAGCCATCCCTCGGGAAGTAGCCTGAGAGCGAGACAGGGAGAGAGAGTCGGAGAGCGAGAGAGGGAGCGAGGGAGCGAGGGAGAGAGAGAGGGAGAGAGGGAGAGAGGGAGAGAGGGCGAGAGGGCGAGAGGGCGAGAGGGCGAGAGGGCGAGAGGGCGAGAGGGCGAGAGGGAGAGAGGGAGAGAG